TAGTCCAAAAATTAGCCCTAGAGAGAAATCCCAGACTATAAAGGGGAGTTTGTTTTTCACAGTAGAAATGGTAAAGTTTTAATGTGCCTGGAACCAGCCTGCTGTTCAAACTATGAGGCAGAAATGTTTCTCGTTGGAGCGTCTTTTGTAATCTGGGTCTCTGTCGATTAGTTTTCACCTTAAATAATATTGACAAGATGATGCTTCTGAATATTTGTTAAACTAGTAGGAGAGAAAGAGAGAAAAAGGATGAAGAATATGAAGTTGATATTAAAAAGACTATAAAAAGGTATGGTTTTATCTCTAGTCTTATAAACTAACAATCATTTTTTTGTGCAGCTGCCACCTGCTCTGCATTCCCCTCCAATGGGGTCACCTGATCCCCTTCTGCCTCTCCACTCACCTGCATCTACTTGAATAATTATTCCCTGTGCTGCTGCTTTCCCACTCACCGTTTAACAGGGTGTTCTTTGTGCATCCGACAAACTTCAAAGAGAATCTGGGTTATTTGTATCCTGAGCAGTAAAACGATATACACAACATATCAAATAATCATTATGGTAATTAAAATGTAACCCATGGTGATGTTGTCAGCCAAGAACCAGAACTATAATTACAAGAAGAATTTATTTTGGTCAATACTCTCCCACATGCATTGATAATGCATAATTATTGTACATAGCCATATTAAAATAAGGACATTTTATTAAGATATTAAAGCAAGGCAGGTTTATTTCTAAAGCACTTTTTTGTAAGCGGACAATTCATTTCAATTCAGTTTATGTATACAGTGCCAATTCACAACACATCAACCAGATCATACATTCACATTGATTCAAAGTTTTTTATCTAAGGAAAAACAGTTAATTGCAATTCAAAAAGCTTTGTATATATATATATATATATATATATATATATATATATATATATATATTTGCTGGCCTCTTTTGTGTTTCATTTATTTTCTTTTACATTGAATCTCCCGTCCAGCGTTGATTTTCCACTAGCAATCTTGCAATTCTTGTTACGTTATAGCTGAAGGAGATTGAGTTAAGATTATTTTCAAAATGAATTTCTCGTTCTTGCTCATCGAGCTCTGTTAAGAGTGTTCATGGCTTGGCCCAAATACCAAAAGCTGTAGCTCCTACCTCCTGTTCCTAGCTCCTATCCCTTCACCTTTCACATGGTCTACAGTGAAGAACTCTATCCAGGGTAGGAAAAGAACTCTAGACTGCAGAGCTGAATCCGGACAGCATCCATCATTACTTCTTTATTAAATATAATACAGACGAAGTTGTGCATATTAGCATGTGTCACACTGAGAAGATGTGAGTATAATCTTAATAATCTTGTTTTGTTAAGCTCATTGGGGTGGGCTGTGCCAGTACATACTGTCCTGCAAAGGATTATGGGCAATTGTATGATTCCTAGTGGCGGCTAAGGATGTCAGGAGGTTGCTCTGCTAACTGCATTTGGTGTTAAGAAGCAGCCTTCTCGTTAACTTCCAGCTCGTTTAGATAGAATTTATTATGCAAATTATGTCAAAACTTAACTTTTGTAAATTTTTGTAATTATTTTTTGAGTTATTTATTTTTTTATATAATTGTATGCCTGTTTTTTTCTGCTTTGCCAACTCGTTAGATGTAGCACCACAAATTGTTCTCTCCCTCCTTCAGCTACCTTCCTTAAGTCTCTCCAGCTGTTGCTTATTCTCACCTGCTTGCCATGCTTTCACCTCACTCTCTCCTATTATTTATATAGACGGTAATTGCTTCTTTGATGAAATCCCCTGCTTCTCTCCTCCATATTGCTTTGCTTTAGGTTTCTGTTGCCTGCCTGTTCAAAACAATCCTATTTCCTCTAGTGTAAGTTTATTTGATTTCAGTATTAAATCTTTCAAATTGCAGTGTGGCTACTGAGCTGCTGCCTGGATTTTGGTCCAGCGCTGACCGTAACAGTTTGTCACGATGTTAAAAAGATAATTTAGTTGAAACATGCTTTAATAAATAATTTAGGGAAGCTAAATTGACTAAAGCACATTTTCACTACTTCTATGGCTAGATCTACTAATGCTAAAATCAATTAAGTTTCAGTATGGTCAACGTTTCTGAAACCTTATATGTCAAAAATGGAATTCATCCTTGCTTCAAGGATAAATACATATTATTCATTTCAATCTGAAAAACTCACACAGAAAGAAAAGACAATTAGAAGAACTTTTTTGATACAATTCCTTTAGTCTTTGGTAAAATAGGGATGTTTCCTCCCAGGCTTGAACCTGGTGGTGGAGTGGAGAGGATGAAGTTGGTCAGTCCATGACTGCTGGCTGGCGAGACGGTGTGCTTGAGCTGTATGAAGAGATCCAGTAGGCTTCGTGAGCTGATACTAGTGCTTCACTCAGGGACCTGGTAAGATGGGAAGTCCAGTTCGAATAACACAGGTTGCATGAACCTGTCCATCATTGGCAAGCATGAAGCGACAGTGGAGAGGAAAAACTCCCCTTTGGGAAGAAACCTCTGGCAGAACCGGATTCAACACGGTAGTGTTCTACCAGACTGGTTGAGATGAGACAGGGAACGCAGTAAGAGTCCAGGAGGAATGACACTCTGATGAAGCTTTAGCTACGATGGTGGAGAAAGGGATGGAGCTGGGTTGAAACTGGATAATCTGAATCGAAGTCCAACATAGCGCAACCACGGAGTAAGGGTAAGTATTGTCATGATGGGTTTTAAAGATCTCACCCACATGCAGAGATTCACTCAGAGCACCAGGGGAAAAGTTAACAGGTTTATTGAGAGGTTGACAAAAACAGAGAGATCACAAAGATCAGTTCAAGGTCCATAGGGAAAATGACTAAGACTGGTGAATTGCTGGAGGAGACTCACGTTAGGGAGATTCTTGGTTTCCCTTGGGTCCAGTTTGTGGGGGGTTTAATCCAGAGATGAAAGGAACTTGTTGGAGGGCGGACAGGGAGACTTGCATTGGGTCCAGAGGAGCAATGGAACGGACTGTCGCCGGGTTTTCCTGAAGTGGGCTTGAACAGATCTGAAGGCTTCCCCTTAATCAGTGTGACTCGAATTATTCCTTCCAAAGGGGGGAGGAGGACCAGGCCTATCCAGTGGATCAGGAGGACATCCTATCGGAGAACAAAAACAAAGGCAAGGCTTAGACTCAGAGAGACAAGGCAAGCTAATCTCAGTAAGGCTAGAGTACCTAATACTGGCAAACACTCTGGTGTCGAGATGGTGACAGTCCGCAGCTCAAGTACTCCTCTGGTAATGACCCAACGAGCCGCAGGTGTGTAGGGAGGCCCAATGAGAACGGGGCACCGCCTGGTGGTGGGGAGAGGAAAAACACAAAAAAACAACCCACAGAAACTGGAACCCTAACAAGTAACAAGTAACTTCTGCCTAAGCCCCATGGTACAGAGAGGTGGCAGTTTCAAGAAAGAACGATTGCATCTAGGCCAGTGTAATAACTTGCGAAAGGGAGTAACTATTTAGTAGCCTATAACACTTGTTCTGTTGAAAACCCGCAGGAAGTCTCTATTCCAACTGCATGAACTATTGATATATTGAGAGAGGGTATGGAAGAGATTAGGGCCACAGAAAAAATTAAATAAAGTTAACTGATTTTTAAATTTTAATATGAGAATCTCAGAATTTTGACTGAATTCTGACAGCTAACAAACATGTTAGCATCAAGCGGTAGCCATGTCTGTTTTAGAGACTAGCTCTCTTGCTTTAATCACCCTCTGCTCTTCCATTATTGAAATAGCATCACCGGGGACCCCTCAGGCATGCAAAAGGTCGCCTAATTCCATCATTTTCCACCATTGTATTACTGGCCCTCCCAGACAACTCACATCTTTGCCGGTGAAGCTGAGTGCTCCCACATCTCTTCCTTCATGGTCCTCATCAGAGATGGGAAGTAACGAAGTACAAATACTTCGTTACTGTACTCAAGTAGATTTTTCTGATATTTTTACTTTACTTTACTACTTATTTTTATGGCGACTTTTTATTTCTACTCCTTACATTTTTACACAAATATCTGTACTTTCTACTCCTTACATTTTAAAAAATTGGCTCGTTACTTTAGTTTTGAATCATTTCAATGGAGTTACCGTTATTATTTTTCACGCCATCAATACCAAGTTCAATCTAATTGGATGGGAATCTACGTTGCATTTGACGCACCACTACAAGATGAATCGACAGATTCGGCGGTATTCATTCGCAGCAAATCATTACAGCTTGGTGGCGGTGGCGTTAGCATAGTAGTATGGACGACGAGATGATTGAAAATGAACACAACGGAGATCTAGTCCTATTGGCAGACATCCATTTAAAATGTAGGCAACGGCATGAAAAAAGTGGTTTCTACTTTTACTTTTATACTTTAAGTAAATTTACAAGCCTGTACTTTGTTACTTTTACTTGAGTAAAGAAGTTTAATCAGTACTTCCACTTTTACCAGAGTATTTTTTAACACAAGTATCTGTACTTTTACTCAAGTACGGAAAGTGAGTACTTTTGCCATCTCTGGTCCCCATCTACATTAAGATCCAAAATTCTGAGAAACAAAAGTCAGAATTCTGAGATTAAAGTCAGAATTTTGAGAAAAAAGTCAGAATTCTGACTTTTGTCCCATATTTAACTGAAATTTAAAAATCAGCTAACTTTTTTTTATTTTTTACTTTTTTGGTGGCCCTAATCCTCTTCCGTAAGAGTTTTACAAGCATTATGTGAAATAATAATAACCTTTGAGATTACATTTATATATTGATATTCATGGGGAGGGAAATAGATGCATGTATATAGGGAATAAAAAAAAAAAAAAACGGAGCAGATGGATCTAGGGAAAATTCCCCAGCAACGCAGTGATCATGTTTTCCTGGTTACTGAAGAGAGAAACGCTTTAAGCCGCGATGATGATGGTAATCAGGATAATAGGGAGTGAGAACAGAACTCCGCGTGGCGTGGCGGCAGTGGGAGTGTCCGCGTGCTGAGTAGAGTCGCTCCACTCCCTGCTCGCGCTCAGATGCTTTCCTCCTCGCAGGCGACGCACACACTGGCACGAAAAGTCTGTTGTTTGAGGAGTTTCCTGTCTGTTTGCATCCCCGCGCTGTGATGTCAGCCCCTCGAGCCGTTCTGGTGCTGCTCTGCGTGGCGTGGGCTGTGGCGCGTGCCCGCAGGAGTTCTCTGGATCCGGAGGATGTTCAGGAGAAAGTCAACAGCGCGAGATGCACGTCCAGGTGTCTGAGTCTGCACATGACCCAGCTGACTGCAGCCTTCAGACATATTCAGGTAAATACTTACATGTTTAAATATTTAAACATAAGTCATCTTTATCAGTATTTTTTTCATTAAAGATGCGGAAATATGTGCTTTCATCATCTATTTAACGATTTTAGACAGTACTTTATGAAATATTCATAGTAAAACATTTTCACATGTTGCTTAGTTATGTATTTGTTTATTTTTCACTACCAAATAGAACAATCAGAGATATAGTTTTATTATAGTTTTTTCAGATGTTTTTTTATTTTATTTTTATATGGTATACCTAAAACGTTGCTGATTTTATTTAGCCCTTTATCTCTTTTACATTGAAATAAATGACCTAAAATATATCTTATTTAAGCAGGTAAGTAAAATCAGCTGTCAATGAGGATTTTGATCCCTGAAATAAATATACTGAATTTGAAATATGATAAAGATTATGTTTTTTTTCTTTCTTATTTTAAGTGCAGCAATATTATTTCATGAACAAATCGTTTTACTTGCCAAGCTAAATGTAGGACAAAAAGACTTATTTTTTTAGAAAGTCTTACTCTTATGCAGCATCACTGCTCCTAGATAAATTGGTGGCGTGAAAGCATCAGAAAAAGGAAGCCACATCATGATTAGAATGGGACACATGGATATCTCTTACAGGCCACTGTTGAATACATAATATGGTAACTTTGGAGGAGCTGCAGAGATTAATAGCACTCCTCAAATCTGACTTCTGTTAAAAGCTGTCAGTAAGAAAAGCTTTTTTTTTTTTTTAAATGGTATACACCATTTAATGGATTCCTATAATCCATGCAGGGAACATGGGAAACATGTGGAAGGAGGTACTTTGTACCCAGGGAATCAAGTACATTACCTCAAGCTCTCCTCTCCACCCCTTATGTGAAGATATAACTAGTTAGATACAGGGTATTTTACCCTCCCACAGAAAAAGTGACTGCAAATATAAAGTCAGAGCTGACCTAGATCATGAACTAGAATGGCCCATTCAAAAGCCCAGACTTACACAATAGACACAAATCTTTGGGAAGACTTAAAAACTGATATTCTCAGATGAGGCACCCAACTTGACATGAACTTGGGTACATTTCAGGAATTTCAGTGCCTAGAAATGCAAATCTGGTAGAGACACACCCAAAAATATGTATTGCAGGGAATTCAGTAAAAGCTGGTTCTATAAAGAGAGGGCTACATGTTCAAATTTCACATTTTAGATTTCTTTATATCAAAAAAAGGAAAACTTCAGACAACCATGTATCAATTTTAATGGTCTTCAATTATGCCTTGTTTTGTAACATGTGATAGAATATAATCCTCAATAGATTTAATGTGACTGAAGACAGTAGTTAAAAAGCCATCAGTAATTTGTTGCACGGTATTGCACCTTTGCTTTATGGTTAAGTGTTATAGATCAACTAACAGCATGGGGGTGCTTTCCTGTCTAAATCAGTTTAGTAAATCCCAAAGCAACAGGAGTGTTGTGTTTGATGTATTAAAGTTAATAAAGGTCAGCTTTTATACATAATTAATACTGTTGTAACAATTTGTTTTTATGTTATTTCTATCAAAATGGGTAAAATGTATTTTCTAATAATTTGCTGTGCAAGATGTACAGCAGCACATGTTGGTACAGGAGAAACACAAACGTCTCTTTAAAGAGTAAACACTAAGGTAGAGCACTGGTTTGTAAAAATAGAGTTGGAAAAACCTAAACCTGTTTAAGGGCAAGTTTTACAGAATTTCAATGTGGCAATCAGTTGGTTTATAATTGTGTTTGGACAAAATTCTCTTTGATCCACTTTAACCAATAATTGGCTGATACAAAAAAAATCTGATTTTAGATTTTTTTTTTTAATTCTTTTTTATGCTTCTGCAGTTTTCAGTTGATAAGCACGAAAAATATGGGATGCACATGGTGAAATATTTCTAACTCTT